AAGTTACCCGCCTGAGTGGGACAGATATGGTTTGAGCTGCTCGACAGGCAGATAATCTCACGCACTGACGTGCCTGACATGGAATGAATAAACTATGAACGAGACAGATGATTTTGCGTCTTGTCACAGCTTTCATGCGAGCTCAATACAGTTTCCTTTTGAAGGCAAATTATTTTGGGAAAGCCTTGCACAGGATTGATTGAGAAATCCACTAGAATAAGGTCAAGGGTGAATGTATACTTTTACTAAAGGCAAATATACCAGCATCAACACATATGCCACCTAGTGCCCGCTCACTTAATAACTAAATTGAATTGTCATCGCTTTGTATCAACAAGACACAACTTTTACAAAAATTCCTTCGTTTGTGTTTCTGATTGTTCAGTCTCATTAACAGGTTGGCCGTATCACCAAATTTAAAAGAAAAAGGAAGGAATTATTGACTCCTGTGTTACGCAACATAACCAAAAGCTTCCCAACACGTGAATGTGCACTAGAACCTTAATTTCATAGTGTATTAAAGATACGTTTTTCCAGGTGTTTTTTTTTTCAGCCAAGAAAAATTAACTTCAAATTTGATGAAATTCCAGGGGGTATATTCCATAGGAATTAGATGTAACCTCGGACATGTGCTTTTTCTATCTGTGCGGTTAAATTTTTTCTTATAATGAACTCTAACCTCGTGGGATAAAAAAGAAGGATGCAACCAAAGATGAAATACACCTTAGAAGCGATAGTAAATGAAGTATGACAAGACGCAAAATAACGTGAGGCACTCATGATATGCTAAATTAAACATGACAAAGAATTAGGGTTAAGAGTGATTATTGTAAACACATGATGTGTGAGTGGATGTCACTCTGAAATATCTAATGTAGGCATCGAGAGTGACAATAAGCACGTGGAAGCGAAGTTGTATACGTTCATTGTGCTTTCATTAGGATGACTTTATCGACAGAAGGAATAGCCGGGTCATTCTGTTTCGCTTTGAAGGTAAAAAGCGGCTTAAAGAATATATGGTTTATAGGGAGCACGTTGATTCAAACGGCACTGCGTGTGACCAAGTTTTGTTCAAGAGCTCACAGTTCCCAGACTGTTGTTCAATTTACAGCGATTAAAAAGGCCGATAGTTATTTTGGCTGTTGCTGTTGGATATGGAGCATATTGCACTGGAAAAGAAGGAAATGATGTCTATCTTCATGTTCAAAATAAGAAGGAAAAAGAAATCAATATTACGGATCAATATCCAGCATCTGAAGGTCAATCCCACGTCCTTTGACAAAGTGTCGCGCTCAGTTTTCAAGTATTTATCTTGATCAAACAAGTACTTACGCGAATTAAAATCCTTAGTTCCTGTCGCTTCCCTTCGGCTTGTGCGATAAATTAATGTCTTCCTGAATTTATTTCCTCTCGAATTAAGGAAAGGGAAAGCATTTTTCGAGAGATTTAAAGAGTGACCTCGGTTATTTTAAGCACCTGAACTTTGTCCCTGTGTTCTCTGCAGTACGTTTTCAACTATTCTCAGTATCAATAACTTTTCGGTCAGACCTGCAAAAAATATATCTTCAAAGTTATTGAGGTCTTGAAAATTGTTTTGATGTTTTGGGTTTCCCTTTTAAGTCAACTAATTCTCCAGTTGACAAACACTGAACTTTTAGCTGGTTCGATGTGATTCTACATTTTTTTCTCAGCGAACAACGATCAAACCAAATTTTCTCAGACGTTTTCATGATTAATTATCAAGGTACAAGTTTGCACCAACTTAATGGAAAATAAATGAAAATGGTGTTTTAGAGCTTTTGGAGATTTGTACTGTTTTTTTCATGCGTTTAGGTAAATTTGTGTTCATTTTAAAATTTCATTTGTTCACTGTTACTTTCCATTTCGCTAATTTAGTCTCACTCTTGATAACTTCGGTCAACACTCTTTAAGGCACAGTCCTTAACGCGGTTCGTGTGCGATAAAATTCCGTTTGTATGAATTCTCGGTTTTTCTTTCTTCATTGCGATTAAGAACTTACGCTATCAAGAATTCATGAAGAGTTTGTTGAGCTTTTTACGGCAGAAACGTGTTGATATTAAATAAAGTTGTAAAATCCTGAGGGAAACTTTTAAAAGAGAACGCCAGTGAAATACGTCTCTCAACCCCAGGGTGCTAGAAAAAAATTGCATCTTAGCTTTGATAGCAAAAGAGTTTTTCAGTTATGATAAAAATAAAACACTGCACAGTTAGTAAATTATTCTGCGAAGACTGCTAGTTTTTATGATTTTGTTCTCTTTGAAACTAACTTATCTGAAGCATTTATCTGAACGAAGTTATCGTCATGTTAATATTTTTGGGGGGATGCACGTACCGACGTAAAGGAAGTGATATTATTATTCTGTTAAGCAATATTCAGGAGTGGGCATAAAACAACTACAGGAAGTCTGCAATACTAAAAATTTTCATTTGCCTTTTGTTCTCTAATTGATCCTATCGCCATTCACCATTAGTGCAGAATTTTATCTCAACGTCCGACGCCAGGCATTTGTACAGAGACGCTCATCCTGACAATCGCAGGTATAAAGGACCGTGTTCTTTTACAAGTAAACACAACTCACTCCAGCAAACCGATTGTTCTCAGTTAGGGCTCGATTTAAATCTCTTTTTGATTTGGAAATATGAATAGCACATTTCTTTGGATGCTTTTAGCTCTAGTTTTATTATCTTTTGTATGCCTGGGAAGCACATTCACACCCGGTGCGGGATGTCATATAGCTAAGTGCAAGAAACGTCAGGTGGTACGAAAATACAGCGATCAACAGGTAATTCATTAGTAATGCATCCTCAGCAGTCCAAAAATATGTTTTTATGTAACCCAAGAGGATGTGCTAAGTTCATTGTTTTCTGTTTTGATCAATGGAAATTTTTCTTATCCAATTTAGTAACAGTCAGTTTCAATTTGGCTGAATGAAGATCATGAACTCAATTTTATCATTCCTTCATCACTCATACGCGGTGGAAAACACCCGTCCATGCTGACAGAGAGTACATTAATTTTTTTACAGAGTGAAATGTGTAGTTCTTGTCCATTTGATAGGTATTTATGCCAACTAGAACCCAGTACCCATAGCTTGTCAAACAGCTCTCTAAAATCTCTTTCACGGCTGATAACAGTGTATCGATCAAGATCTTTACCGAACCCGTGGTTTGTCGAACTTTTTTTCCTTGCTGAGTTGAGAAATTATTCACCGAAGGGGAGGTAAATGACTGTTGTGTCAAAAATCAGGCACGCTGAATAACGAGCGTACCTAAATAAGTAGTAAGTAATTCATCAGCCGCTTGGAGCCTCCAAACTGGCTGACCAATCAGCACGCTCTAAAAGTACTATTCTCCATATGGTTTAGACTCATTTCGATAATGTTTTAACCAGCAGGATTTTATAAAGGCATATTGTGACAAAGTTCGTCCATGTCCTGGGGCAAACGGAAAACGAACTCTTCCACGGCAGGAAGCTTTACTGGAGAGGGACCAGGAACGTTTCTGACTTGGAAGCCAATATGACATAGCCAGAGTAATTTAAAAAAAATTGTTTAGACGACCGCATATTTTCCGTAACCCATGAAAAGATTATATGAATATATATTTCTGTAATTATAAACCTTAGATAATAAATTGTGAAGACTTGGAATTATTATTAGGACTTCATCAACATAGTATCGCGTCAAATATCAATTCCATTCACGAAAATAAGTTTATCAAAGCCTTATATGGATTAAACATTTTTAAATATTTTACCTCTTTTTATCAGAGCTCGCTCGCCACCTTAGCCACTTGCAAAGATTATTACGATATTAGCTAAAGGAACATAAATATGCATTCCAACTAAATTTAGATATAAGATTAAATTAAAATATTACGTGTATATTTGGGTCTTCAATCTTAAATCCGAGATACTGAATTGTGTAGACTTCATTAACATAGTATCGAATAAAAATGCAGTTCTATTTCTCAAAATGGTTTTCATATCTATTGTTTAAGAGCCTTTTTATGGATCATACATTTTTCAAATATTTTATTTTGTTTTTTTCCAGTGCTTGCGTTCCACCCTAACTGCTTATTCAGTTTTTTCCTCCTCCCGGCCGGTTTAACCTTTTAATCCTGTTACGTGCAGTCCATTTGAGTGGAATGTTTATAAACTTACTGGAGTACCAAAGTGCTCTTTCACAGTAATCATAAAATTTTTCTTCGATGAGGTGGCTGAAAACCAAGAGAGGATTAAGTTACCACGCGATCTAATGAGGATTACCTTGCAAATAATCTTTACACAAGCAGCCAAACAGTTGTCCTTTATTCAGAACACCTATTTAGTTTCACTATAGTCAGCGCAGTTTCATCTGATCAAATAAAATTTTATAGTGGCCTTATCTCGATCGCCAGTAATACAGATATACCTATAGCTGTAGACATTGTGATTAAAATTGAGTGCTGTTGCAATCAGTGATAAGCGTTTTCATACTAAGGTGTTATTTGATAGCTTAATGACTAAAAAGGTCATTATTTGATGAAGAAATCTGCGCAACGCCGGAAGTCAGGGGAATGTGTCCACTCACTACACCTACGAGTAAATCTGAATTCTTAAATCACAGCTGAGTCTCTGATCTGACAAGCCATCTGTTCTATTGCATAATTTAGATAAAGAACAATTTTCCTCTTGACTGTCATAATTATACTCATAATGGACAAAAATCGTAAAGAAACCTCGAGGACACTTCCCTGATCGATGCACGTGCCAGTGTAAAGGAAGTGATATTATTTTTCTGCTGAGTAATGCTAGGAGTGGGAAAAAACTACAGGATGATTACAGTACTAAGGAACTTTTCATTTGTCTTTTGTTCACTAATTGATCCTATCGCAATTCATCCATTAGAGCAGCATTTTATCTCACTGCCCGACGCCACGCACTTATACAAAGACGCTCATTAAGTCATGATTCTCCTGAAAATCGCAGATATAAATGATCGTGTTCTCGTCAAAGAGAATGCAACACAAACCAACTGTTCTCAGTTACTGCTCGATTGGAATCTCCTTTTGATTTGGAAATATGAATAGCACATTTTCCTTGATGTTTCTAGCGCTAGTTTTATTGTCTTTTGTAAGCTGGGGAAGAACATTCACACCCAACATGAATTGTCCTGCACACGTGTGCCCAAGACGAAAAGTGGCGCGAAAATTCAGTGATCAACAGGTAAGACGTTAAACGTTTATCTTCAACAGCGCAGTACTCATTCTATTTCGTTTGTTTCGTCTTTGCGAGCAAACATATGAAGCATTTATTGCATTTTATGCAAGCAAAGAGGAATTGCTAAGTTGAACGCGCACCATTTTTATCCTTTTGGGTAACTTGGGAGACGTTAGGAAGCCGCGAGTTTCAATTTAGCTCGATGTATATTTTTATTGAAAATTATCATTTTATCATGGCTCATGGGTCGTAGAAAACGCTTGTGGACAAAGAGTTCATTCAGGTTTTTTACAGAATGAAATAGTTCTTGCCCATTCGATAAAAAAGAATATAAGCATGCCATAAACAAGCAGTACCCATGGCTTGGAAAATTATAAGCACTTTAAAATCTCTGATTAAATAATATCGATCAACATCCTGACCGTTGTCGAGATTCATCGAATTTTTTCTTCTCATATTTTTTAGTTAGGAAATTGTTCGCCAAAGTGAAGAGGTATAGTTTTCTGTCAGATTCCCCTGAATAAACAACGGACTAAAAATTACTTTATTTCTGGCAAAATTCACACATATGGACAAAAACGAAACTGACGAATATCTCGCCGGCTTGGATCCGAACCTCCGAGCTAGCTAGCCAATCAGTGCCCTCTAAAAGCATTAAATATCTATGTGGTATATAGACTTACATCAATTATTGTTTAAACCAGGAGGATTTTATAAAGGCATACTGTGACAAAGTCCGTCCGTGTAACATGGCAAACGGAAAACGAAGTCTTCTTCGCGAAGAAGCCCCACTTGAGAGGAACCGGGAACAACTTTGACCTGAAGTCTAAGATGACCATCACTATAGCTGGAGGAAGGTCAAAATTTATTTAGACGACTGGATATTTTCTTTAACTTATGTATATGATAAAAAAAGATGATGTGAATATTTATGTCTGTAATTATAAACGTGAGGTAGTAAATTGTGAGGACCAAGCATCCTTTTTAAAACTTCAGTCACGAGTATCTAATAAGGGACCGATTCTATTTCTTGAATAAATTTATCAAATCAATTGTCGAAAGCTTATATATGGATAACGCATTTTTAACTATTATTTTGTTGACCGGATTTTGCGTTCCACCATCGACTTTACTTTTAAATAGCCAACTGTTTTGCCTTCTCTAAGTTAAGTTACGTTAGTTGTTGGATTATTTGAGCGGATTGCGTACGCTTACAAACCAAAGAGCTCTTTCACAAGAGTCAAAAACTTATTTTATCGAAATGACGGATGAAACTTACAAATAGCTGAATATAACATTGCACGGAATATTTATACTAGCAATTAAGTTGCGTTCCTTTATTCATATATACATCCTATTAAGTTTCATTTTGGCCAGCGCTGTCTCATCTGGAAAAAAGAAAAGAATTGAAATTTGTGTCTATGCTGTATGGTCAGTCACACATACAAACATACACCCACGCACCCACACTTCTGAGGGTCTCCAATAGGGTTCTTCAATCCCGCGATGCCGACAAAAATTTTTTATCAAAACCGTAATCCCGACGGTCTATACCGGCCAATCCCGATCTCGATCGTACAATTTTGTCTAAGCCCATTTCCTTAGAAGGGCCTTTCCGGTGGGTGATGGTTTTCTTAACCAGCATTGATCCGTTGAAGTCTATGGTCACCGTAAGGCGTCAGGTTACCAAAATGACGATATCGTTAACGTTCATTTTAGAAGTTTTCAAAGTCTTGCACGAATAACGTACGCTAGTCATAATAACGACCTCCCTTCATTAACCTTCGATCACGGACAAACGTATTGGTACAGGCAGGTCCGTATCAAAGAAACGAATAACAATTTTTAACAACTGCATAAAACACAAAAGGTCACGGCAATCCCATAATTCCATTACAACGGAGATAAATCAGCCTCTTGTTCCAAAGATGGAATGTCATCATCATCACTCGGGGAATCGTACTCCAATATTCCATCTCCCTCTTCGTCTTATTTTACACCGTTTTCTTGCTGCTCCTCGAGCCCGAGCATTCGAGGCTGACCGGTTCGAATCCGGCTGAATTTCTCTCTGATAGAGGTAAGACGGGAAGTTCCAGCTCTTGCCATCGTTGTTTCCTGTCTGACAGAGAGCTGACGCACTGCTGCAACAAATGTTTACGCCCAGTCCCTCATCTTCCGTATGCTCTGTGGTGCCATCGGCACAGGTGGTAACGGTTGAATTACCGGTATGGTCGACAGGATCCTGGCACGTTCGGGCACAAGATACCAAGAATTTGGATTTGTAAAATATTACGCCGCCCAATGGGTTGTCCTCATTAAGCCTCTTTTAGCTACATTTCCAAAGTTACTTGGGTAGTATAACACCATGAAAAGTTTATCTTTGTGATGCACAACAGAGAGAATATTCTTCGCATCTTGTGTCATGTAACTCAACAGGTTAAGAGCATCATATCGGTATAATTCTGAGACTTTTATAATTCTGAGGTTTTTCAAAGCCGTTAAGCATATCAATTGACGCAGCAGTCTTAGATGCCACGTTACCCTGTGGGCCATTGAGGATTTTTGATAAATTGGCAACTTCGCCTATGACATATTTTCATTCCCACGCAATAACTGAAGAGTGTCGCTGAGCAGCCCGACTGCCTCTTGAATGAAAGAACCTGTACGCCTGGTGCTTTTCATGACTGAGACATCCCGGTTCTCGGTTCGTTTAAGTGATTATTTCCCGAGTCCCGCTCTTCAAAATTGCTGATTCCCGCGTCCCGTTCATAATAGCAATCACGCATCCCGCTCCCTTCTTGCCATAAATTCCCGGATCCCGGCCTTCAAATGAGCCTAATCCAGCATCCTGAAAAACCTACTGAAGACCCTCACTTCCGTTACATTGTGATCAATAGTCATTGCTTTAGCAACCAGTGGTAAGCACACGTCTTCGGTTGTATTTCAACAAAAATCTAATTCGATGATACATATTTATTATAGTCTTGCAAAGCTTTTGAGTAGTATACCATAGAATCCCTCGAGTCACTTGTCTTTTCTAGGTTGTGGACACGAGCCGTAAAGAGCATACCAGTGGAATATAGGAGACGACGGGAACATTTCGTGACACACCAAGAGTGTTATAAACTAGCATCCCCTCAAGGGAAAGTGGTAATATTCCTAGCCGCCTCATGCTACAGAAATCCGGATGAGGTCATACAGTAAAGGTACACCTGGCTTGTAAAACATAAGCCATTCACTCCTGCTATCTAGCTCAATTGCAATTCCCGACGCGCAAATTTCCTGTAAAAATTTGAGTCATTTCACACATTTTGGCCGCGATTGCGCGTTGAAATTTATCACTCACAATGCCAAGCGACTCAGAATATAGCGAGTAACTTGAATTAGGTTTCCATTTCGAACCATGCAGTCATTTTACAAGTGGCGCCTTTGCTGATCGTGAATAAAATAAAAATAATTGCTTTTTTACTATCTAAACGTAATCTGCAGAAATTTGTTGTAACCTCAGAATAGTTTTTTTTTATACATATCAAAGAAACGAAAACCAGGAAGAAACATTTGGTGTCATATGCAATTTAATTGACTTCTAATCCCTCTCAATTAAAGTTCCCTCTAAGTGATCCCTCTTATTGCACCCTCCAATTACATCTTATAACAAAAAAAGTCAGAGGTAATTCACCTTTGGCTTTTGATGGCGTTCAGGGTCTGATTGCAACCGAGATCGTGCGCGTAAGAGGGAAATCAGTTAACGATAGGGCATTTTTTGCCATGTAAAATATCGCTACCGGTGTGGATATAGTTTACGCCCTTTTCTCTCTTCGCCTCTTTCCCCCCTCCTTAAACCCAACGACATAACTTAAGTTTGTGAGTATGAGCCACCCCTCCCCCCTTGGTGGGTAAGGCCAACTCTATGGCCATAATTATAAATACTCTGAACATAACTTAATTTAGAGTCTTTTTAATTCTATCTGAAGCTAACATCGACTACAAGTTTATTTTTTTCTTACTACAACTATTTTGATATTATTACGCAGTATTTTAAAGACCATTCCTTGATTCTCAATCTGGTATCGGTGTCAGCAGTTACTGATGATAGTCCGCAGTCTTCTTGAAGTCGAGTTCTTCCTTGAGTTTACGTTCACCTGGGCAGGGAAGCACTTGCTCACAGAAAGATTTGATGACGGCTTGTTGCTTTTAAACAAATTTCACAAATAAATGAACAAATTGATTAGTCAATGGTCAACTAATTGAGCCTTTAAGCAAATTGTTGGCTAGAAAATCTTGAAAATATTTTTGAACAATTTATACTTCCTAAATGTAAATTAAATATCTTGAAATAAGGCCAATTTTTCCATGTAATGACTGAAAGAGAATATTTATAGGGAAAATTAAAATCCATGTACAATTGAGGATTCCCTTCATTTAAGTTTTAGTCAAATGTTAATGCTGGAACATTTTATAGCAGAGATGATGGCTTGGCTTTGGCTTTCTAGATGTCTTCACGGAAGAGGCTGTGAGCACTTTAGTATATCTGGAAGCCTTAAGTTAATCAGAACTGTTCTAAAAGTCTAAACAGTTTGTACCAATTACGATCTGTTAGTTGGAACTTTCAATTTTCTGTGTACTTGTTTTGTCAAATGAATTGCATTTAACCTTAAAAAACTAGCAAACGAACCATTAGAGATTCGGCCGTGTTTGGCAATTACAAGTATACTTGAAAAATAACAAAAAGTATATGCAATAAAAAAATATTCTCACCTTTTTGCAGCCAGAAATATCAGCAGCCAGTCTTCGGAAACCAGTGTCGGCCTGGGGAACAAACGCATTATTTTGCACCACTATGCTCAGAACCACCGATAGATAAAGAAATACCGAAATAATTTTAAAGTTCATTTTTTGAACTTTACCGAGCACGCTGCTAAGGAGATTAAGGGCAGTAAAACTACGGACTAAATGGTGGTATTTATATTGGTGATAGGATATAATATTTTTTCACCTTTGATTTTCCTACGGGTACATGATGGACGAAACAATAACCAAGCCATTACTGAGGTCTTTGAGAACAACCCTACTCGAAAATTAGCGATTAATGTTCGCCATTGTAGAGCAATATTTCTTTGTCTTTCAAATTCTGATTTGTGTTGGCTTGCTATCGTTTTGGACCATTAACCTCATTTAATGACAGGAACAACAATACTTACGGGTGATAATTACACTGAGTCAAACCTGTGATTGGACTGTTGTTGAGTGTCAGTTGTGATCGTGTTCCATGTTTTAAATAATTACCATGCAAGACCACCGGGAAAATTATCTTAATTTTATTAATGATAGTAAGAGAAAAGAGTTTGGAAAAAAAAATCTTCTTGAATTTGTGGGGAAAATGCGGTTGAAGAGGTGAAAACTAGTCAACTTTTCTTTCTACGGTTTTGACAAACAGTCTTATCGGGAGTATTCTGGCGCCAAACTTTAACTGAATGGGTGCATCTTTAAGTAATTCAAGGCCTTGTGCCCCATTTGGAAGCCATTGGTAGTAAAACAGATTTATTTCGTCACTACGAAGCGTTTTTGACGAACAGACTTATTGGGAGTGCACTGGCGCCAAACTTTAACTAAATGGCTTCATTATTGAGTAATTCAAAGCTTTGCGCCCCATTTAAGCCATTGGTGGTAAAACAGATTCCTTTTTTTACTGCGCAGCGGAAATGTTGAATTTGGACACAAATAACCCTTAAAGATGTTCAGGTGAAAGAGTGTAGGATTTCCCACCACCCATTAGTTTTTAAAACAAGATACACTTTGGGATTAAATTAATGGAAAAGGTGGTAAAAAAAGAGCTGTTTCCTCATTAAACACTATTTTCTAATATAGTGCGTGGTTAACCTTGTGGATGAATAGGAAAAGGCGGAAGGTGACCATTATTTTGACTTTTGTGTAGGTTTAATGCCATCTTAATGGAAAAAAAAATCAAGCCTTCGAAAATCATCAGTAAAATTCAAATTACCTTAATATGATCAGCTTTTTGTTCACGTTCACAAAATCCTCTTTTTTATTC